AAAAATAAACGGATTAATAAATTATGTTCTATATAGTTTTCATTCGATTTTAATTTCGGAATTTCCCGGATCTTACCTAAATTGATGTCAATCAAATCCCTTATAGATTAACTAAATTTAAACTAGCTTACTATAAAAGTTTTATTTTGACGTTTCTTTCTCGTAATCTTTCTTATCTTTGAGAGAAAATTATTTAATAATTTATTTTCAAAACAAAAAAAAAAAAAACAACTCACAAAGACACATGCATAATGTTTAGGATTTTTTCCTTTTAAAAAAAAAGCAAACATTTTTGGTTTCATATTTCAGAATTCATATGCAGAAAATGTATAAGAGTTAAATGTAAATAATATATTTTAATATAAATAATTATCTATTATTAGCGAGGGACCCACACGAAATAAGAAAGAACCGGTAATAGATAACGAGAAAAAAATTATAAACATTATAAACAATACAGCAGGGTCAAATTTACAAGTTTACAAAATGTTTTTTACAGCACAAAAAAATAACAATAATAATAAACATTCTTATCAGTTATTTATTACGTATTTATTATAATCTTCATTGTTGACAAATAAGTACGGAAAAATTAAGGAACGAAATAAAAAAAATCAATCCGTTTGATTAGATCAACGATTTGTTCGTGAAATTATATTAATTATATTAAAATGGATAATTATGATAACTATGATAACTATGATAATTTATGATAACTATGATAATTTATAATGATTATGATGCAATTTTTTTTTTTCTTATCTCTCTCATTTATAACAACGAAGATTTATTATCTTATCTAATTTATGACCTGATTAAAGATTGTTATGCATTAATTGCTGATAACTTAATTAAACCGCCATATTCTCGTATAGCCGTAATTGCCGTAATTACAAAAACTTTACCGGGTGATATAATGTTCATTTCTATAAATTATTTGACTCGGAGAAAAGAGACCAACTTATCAAAATGGTTTCTTTTGTTGTTTTAAAATTCGGTTATTTAACTTAACTTAAAATGATATTCATAAATAAACCGAAAAATTATCCTACGCGTTATTTTTTTTTTTTTGATTTTTAGGTTTTCATTTTCTTTCCAAAAAACCGAAAAAATAAACCGAAAAAAAATAAATAAAAATAAATAAAAAATTAAAAGAATATTTAATAATTATAATAATAATAACGCATGAAGATCAGGAATGACTCAGAGAATTTACAACTTGATTTTAAACTTTTTAACGCCAACCAAATTTTTTAGCATGAGAAAAAAAGAACAATGGATCAATCAAAGGGAATAAATTTTATTGACAGGAAAAAATATAATTTTTTTTTTATTTGTTACCCTAAAAATATTATGTACCTTTTAAATCTTGTTCATATGTATCTCAATATGCACACTTTTATTTTGACAGCCAAATAAAAAAAAAATAATAAATAAAAAAAAGATAAAAATGGAATTTTTTTTTTAAAAAAAAATTTCTTTATTTTCTATTCTCTCTCTCTATTTCTTTGTCTGAAAAAAAAATCTAAATTTAACTTTTCGAAAAAAGAAAAAATAATAAGAAACATTATTTCTTTTTTGTTTTGTTCAATATAATAATTATTTTTTGATCTGATTGTTTTTTTTTTTTTGTTTTCCTTTTACGCCGTCTTAGTTACAGTATTTTTTTTTCTAAATTTCGAATTGTCGATCATAGGCGCAGTCATAAAAAAAGTTAGGTTCATTGGCGCAGTCATAAAAGGTTCATTGGCGCAGTAATAAATTAAAAAATGTTCATGTTCAATTTTAATCAATTTAACCAATTTAATCAAATTCTATCAATTTAATCAATTTAATCAATTTAATCAATTTTATCAATTTTATCAATGTCAATATCAATTTATCAATTTATAGCAATGCCAACAAAACATGTGGTGATATTCAAAATTTTCGAACACTTGATGAATTATTTTTAATTATTCCCTTGTTAATCATTAAAAATAAAATCACGTAACGTACGTAATATAATTTACATTATTTATATTTACGTGAAGAGGTTTGGGATGACAGACCTGGGTCCCTCTTAAAATAATAAAGGAGAATAATAAATATTTTTAATAATGTCATATACTATGTTTGAACTCGGTGAAAATTATATATAGTTTGTTGTTAACTATTTAATTATTGGTAAGAATTTCCGAAATTTAATCCTTAAATATCAAACAATAAACTTACATATTTGTATAATTGTATATTTGTATATATATACATATATTTATATATACAGTACTTACTTACTTTTTATCGGTATTAGATTCTATAATAACTCATTTATATATATAATAAATAGACTAAATAGGACTAAATAGAATCATATATCATATAGCAGATAATCCTTAAAAATATCCATTTTCAATATTTATTTCCATTTCACGCGAAATGTAAATTAATGTATTATTTAAAATTACATGAAATGAATGAAGTTTTTTTTTTAAGTGAGAAAATGTATTATTTGTTGTGGGAAACGTGGGAAAGAGACAAATTAAATTGGGGGGTTTTTTATTTATTAAAAAAGGAGAAAAAAGGAATTATTTGTATATACATACACCCTGAACTTTTTTGTTTATCAAATTTTCTGTTTATCAAATTTCTGTTTATCAAAACTTACTCTCTCTCCTTACCGTTTTTTGACGTAATAAATAACGGTACACATGTGAATTAAACTCGAAATCAACGTATAAAAACAATTAAAACATGACGTAAATACACATGATTGTGTTTATAAATAGTCCAAGTAAAGTAAACTAAGTAAACTAAATAGACTTATAGACTTTATAAACTCAAAAGTAAATAGACTTGAATAGACTCAAAGGTAAATCCGAATAACTCAAAAGTAAATCCGAATAGACTTTTATAAACTCAAAAGTAAATCCAAATAAACTTGAATAGACTTAAAAGTAAATCCAAATAGACTATTATAAACTCAAAAGTAAATAGACTAAAGTAGACTCAGAGGTAAGTCAATAGACTCAAAAGTAAATAAATAGACCCCGAGGTAAATCAATTTATATTACTTTTTTAGGTATTTTTAAAATATTTTATTTTAATAATAATATTTTTAACAAATATCAAATAATAACAATATATCAATCCTTTCAATCCTTAATCCTTTTAGCATATCCTGATTTTCTGATTATAAATAATACTTTAATATTTTTAATATTACTAAATAGTTGATCGATTGATTGTATTGTATCACAATTAGTATTTTTCTCCTAGTTTCACCCTAAATAATATTTGTTTATATGATAGAAATAATAATAATAATAACAATAATAATAATCTAATAATTTAATTTTTTTTTTTTTATTCTTCCATATGAATGTCCATACTCCATATGAAATGTTCGCATATGAAATGTCTCATATGAACGAAATATAGATGTCGTACAAAAAGTTACGCCACGCACGTGAATATTACATAATTTTTTTTTTTTTACATTTAATAATTTTTTTTTTTTAAAAAAAAAAAAAAAAAAAAAAAAAAAACAAAACAAAAAAAAAATTTTTTTTAAGTCAATTAAAAACGTGCGAAAAAATTTAATTTTATTCGGAATTTTCTTTAACAATTTTTCTAATTACCTCATATTTTTTTTCTCAAACTTTTTTTTACCCCATTTAAAACAAATTACAACATTTTAAAATGTTTTTTTTTTTCTATTTTCTCCCTTCAATTATTAATGTTCTGGATTT